AAAAAAAAAAAAAAAAAAAAAAAAAGAACTTAGCATCAACTTAGTTAGGTCAGGTCTATAAATTTGACTGCCAATAAAGGAAGGTATATAAGATAGAAGAATTTTTTTTTTGATGAAAATAAAGCAGAACACGAGGTCATCTGTAGAAAAACAATAAAAAGTATTATCTATGTGATCAAAAAATTTGAAACCATTTTTAAAGCACAGTTTAGTTGCATTATTTATGTACTTTTTTACCTTTTTTTTTTCCCTCTCACCTCGTAACAGCATTTTTCACCCGCATACTTTAAAGAATCAAAAATATACTTCTGTGATGACATAAACTGTTTTTCTTTTGTTTTTTTTTTTCAGCATTTTCCAAGATTCCGATGAACTTCAAAGGCAGTTTACAGCAAGCCGGGCCTTCTTTGACACTCGTGACACTGTAAGTTTTTTTTTCGCACTAAAATCTAAGTTAACAAAAAAAAGGTGCAAATTTTGAATTTTTAACTGAAAAATACAAACATATCTGGTCAATTTGTTACAGTTAGTATCAAAAAGAATCCGTAAACAGAGAAGGTTTAACAATCAAAAAATCAAATGAAAAAACGAAAAGAAGTCTGAGTTTTGAAAAATGAAGGTTCCGTAAATGCTGTCGAATTCAACAGCTTTTTTCTGGACAGATTAAACGAAAAAAACGACAATACCACCGAAAGCACGCTGAAAAATAATAAGAAAGAAAAAAAAAGATACTAAAATTTTGTAGGGGCTTGGTTCGATGTACTTCTTCCGGAACAACAGCGAAGTAGAATCCTTTGACCGTTACAGCAACACGGGATACAAGCATCTGCAGGGACATAATCACGATGTTGGATCACGTGAATCTGACGGTTTTATTGCAAATACATTCAACACGGCTTCCAGCTCACAAGTCGGTTCCCTCAGATACGAGGGAGACTTTTATGCAAGTGTTTTTCTTCTAACGGCAGTATTTGCTGTTCAACGATAGTACAGCTACAAATTATAAATTCATTTTTTGTTTTGAAATAAATTCTTATTAAAAAGAGTTAAAATTTTTTACATTTTTCACGGTGTAAAAAAGAAACATTGATACTGTCAAGCGCGTTTTTCTGCAATAATTTTCACTTTTTGCATTTAAAAAAACGATAATAAAAAATGACTGTAGACATGTTTTAAGTTTTTGCCAAAGCTGATATTATTTTACAGCGAGGCTCCCATCAAGATGGTGAAGCGAAATCTGACGATCAAGTTACCGGCTACTTGATGTCAAGGTTTCGAATTTATGGAAGAGATTTCACATTTGTGAATTTATGCCTACACGCTGTACCCTTTGAGGATGTTAATGAACTGGTTGAGCAGGTGAGCGATTAAGAAAAAATACGCTTTTGAAAAAGTTGTAAAATAAAATAAATGAAATTTTCATAGACGAAGCAAAACTTTATTGTTAAACAAAACTGTTTGTAAAAGAATAAAACCAAGGAAAGGGGACATCAATTAAATATTTGACAATATCAATGACTGGTAGTTTTCGTAGTGGTTGTTTTGCTCAAATTTTTCAAAACATTCAGTTACTTTTTTTTCGTGCTGATAAAAAACTTTTTTTTTTTTGAATTAGATTTGGACTAATGGTAAACTGCTGCTTATAGTTGTTCTCTATGAAACTGTAATATTTTATAGCCAGAAGTAACAAAAGCTGCAGCAACACGACAAAAACAGATTGACATCCTTCTAAAAGAGTAACCTTTTTTTTTTGTTGGCCATTACTTATTTTTATCAAATTTTACTGTGCTAAAACTATCGGGTTTTTTTTGGAACTATAGCAATTATTTGTAGAATTGAATCCGAAGGACTAAAGGATGACTCAATACTTGCTGCTGGTGCTTTTAATGCGCAACTTTTTGAAACACAGTTGCTTAGTGTTTGTTTTATTCTTAGTTAATCAGATTTTTTTTTTTTGAAAAAAGTTTGCTTATTATCTGATTATTCTAAAAAAAAAAAGCTCAAACAAGCTGCATTGTTTTTTATGTCACCAACTTAATTAACCAAAATAAGCCATTATATGATCGAAGTGATTGTTGACGACAAAAAGAAGTTAATTCTTTTCTTTTTCTAATTCACTGAGCGGTTTAGGATATGGCTGAAACTCAACGGGCTAAAAGCTACGCTAAACGAACACCGGAAGGAAAACTTGCTGGTATTGAACAACGTGACCGACACGGAAGGGTAATAATTTTAGCTGCAATAATATATATATATTTTTATCTTCCTTCTCTTATCTCCCTCCGCCCTTCTCTTCCTCTGTCTGTTTGAATAAATAAAGTTTATCCGGGGAAAAAAAGAACCCAAAATATACATATTGTTGTGAGAAATGAATCCATTTTATAGTCTAAAAAAAAAATTCAAGTTTGTTCACGCAACAGATGGATTTGTAGAGTTTGGTAACAGTGGAAACACATCGTTTTGATTTACACTCAATCCACGACTGGTTCTTCCGTCTTGGCCGTGGACAAATGGTTAAAAAGTACAACGGTGAACTGTCACAAGTAGTTTTTGGTGGTAAACTTCTTGAAGAGTCTGTTTTCTTCCAGGTTAAAACTTCTCTTTCTCATGTGTCTGTTTGTAATTTTCTATGCTAATTTATTGGTTTAAAATGAATCACTACTAATCTATACA